GCGCGATCCGCGGCTAGGCCGCCAAGGCAACCGAGCATCGAGCGATAGTGGGGGAATAGGAGGCGGTGCCTGCAGGAATTTGACACTATATTGTGGCGCATTTTGTGAAATTAAATATTAAATACATCAAGTATAAAGGAAGATGCCCACGGCATATGGAGAGTTTCTTTCTTAGAGATGGAACCTCTGAAACCGATAAATTTATTTAGAGTATGATGAAATCTGTCGCCCAATACCAAATTTCACTTTCTTATCTGCAAGAAAAGTTAAAAAAATCATGTTTCATGTTTTACGTAGTGACGACGCGATGGCGAAAGAGCAAGCGAGGCATTGAGAGTGGAGGGGGAAACCGCTGGCATGTCCGAGCCCTAGGTACACCTAAGGGTCTCTAATCTCTATTCATGCCAGCGGCTTTCCCCCTCCACACATTTCGGGCCGATTTTTGAAGCGTGCGTACTTTTTATCGCCGCCTACTACCGCTCAACGCTCGACGACCGAGTCGCACCGTTGAATCGCGCGCGGACGTGTCTCAAAAGCGTTGCACTATAAGAAATGTCTTAGCATCGAGGCACTACCGTTTCTCCAGATTCTTTCAACAGTTGTTGAATTAAAACTTAAAAGTACACATATAATGTAATTATATAAAATATATTTGTAGTAATATGTTTATCGATAACGTTATTTATAAAAAAAAAAAATGAAAAAAGGAAAATGCAGGATGGAACGTAAGATCTTCGGAATACTGGTCTCACACCTAACGCCCGAGACCACGCCGAGTTCTTACGAATCATCTCTACGAATCATCTCTACGCGGTAGATAAAGCGCACGGAAAATCGTAAATTACATCTCGTCAACTATCACGTTTTGAAATCATTTTTGCTATTATACGTTAATGAAAAAGGATTATGAACAATATATTTATTAATAATTTCACTTATTCAATATTGTTCGGTACGATCATGCCACCGTCTTCGATCTACTTTACCGATCTCTGATTCCACTGGCGGCGCTGCGCGGCGCGAACCCGCATACTGTGACTGCGCGCGACTTGATATCGATGCGCGCCCCCTCGATCCTTTTGTCCGTTAAAAATAATGGCTGCCCAACCGTCAACACGGACGCACGTGTTCTTTCCGATCTTTTGCGAGAAGGTGAATTATCGCGTGTTGTATAATCTTAGTGTACCGCAAGTGTAAAAGCGACCGCCTGCTTACGAGAGACGAAACAATAAATAGCTCAGAGAAAATCTACTCTCTTATTTTCTCGACCACGTCCTCGCGTCGCTATCCTACCGCGAAAACGGCGTAGAATTCGCAACAAGCGCGAACATTTCTTTGGTCCTTCGAGCCGGATACTCAGATATCCGTGGTCTCTGTTAAGTGGCGGTGTACAAGCGGTGTGTCGAATTCAAGCATTTTCGAGCTTTCTCGAAATTCGCATTCAGTGCATTACACGCGACCTCACGCATACGGGCACGCCAGCGCGACATCGACAGCCATCTTGTCGAGAGCGGGAATCAAGCATACACGAAGTTCGTGCTCAGTCACGGCACGCGTTTTCGCGCATTCTGACTCGTCGCGAGACACCGACGAGCATCGACCATTCGAAGCCGACGTAGTCAGCATCCACATGGACAGCGCTGACACGTGCTGCCGAGGAGGTTTCCAGACATATCAGCATCCACACGGACAGCGCTGACACGTGCTGCCGAGGAGGTTTCCAGACATATCACTGGTTCCAAGGGAAGCATCTTCGCCACGTCAGCATCCGATTGAGGGACATCCATTGTTCAGTCAATATATTTTTCAATTTGCGTGCGTTTCAAGGTAAGGAAGGCTAAAGTTTCCGTTGCCAACCAGAATCGCCGTGTTATCGTTGCGCATGCGCATTCGTATCTTCGTGTAAAATGGCCAACGAATCGAATGTCGTCGATCTCAAGAGGCAGCGCACGATGATAAAGAGTGCGTGCACTCGAATCAGAACGTATGTAGATTCTATTTCCGCGGTTAGTCCGTCTATAATCGCGCAGCTTGAAGAGCGTAAATCAAAATTGGAATATTATTGGTCGGAGTATAGTCTGATACAGTCGCGCATAGAATCTTTAGCGGAGGCTGAAGGGGCGGACCGAACAAGTTTCGAGGAGGCCTTTTATGCTCTATCCGCCAAAATTAGAGAGCTCACCTCTCCCGTGTTGACAGCGCGATCCTCCATTTTTTCCCCGTCCTCTTCAAGTAACAACGACTCGGAAGTTGCACGCGTTCGATTGCCTAAGCTGAATCTACCAACATTTTCCGGGAAATACGATGAGTGGTTTCCATTCTTCGACACTTTTAACTCGATCATACATTCCAATACCGCACTTAGCGATAGTCAGCGGTTTCAATACTTGCGGGCGTCTCTCACTGGTGATGCGAGCGCTATAATCAATTCATTAGAAATTTCCGACGCAAACTATGATGTGGCTTGGTCTATCCTTAAGCAACGTTATGACAACAAGCGCGTTATTGTACAAACTCACGTCAAGGCCATAATGGAATTACCAGCCATGGCGAAGGAAAATTCTATTGATTTGAGGAAGATATCAGACGGCGCCACAAAACACTTGCATGCATTACGGGCTCTCAAGCGTCCAACCTCTCATTGGGATGATCTTCTCATCACTATTCTAAGCTCTAAGTTAGATTCATTTACGTTACGCGAATGGAAATCATCATTAATGGGAAACGATTTACCAGCACTAAAGCAATTTCTAGAGTTCATTTCTCACCGGTGTCAAGTCCTTGAGGCCACCGGTAAGAGCAACGGCATTAATTCAAAGAAGTCCGATATAAAGACACAACCGAGCACTAAACGCCAATCCGCGTGCGCGGCCACAGTCAAATCGAAATGCCATTTCTGTCAAGGCGAGCATGCTATCTACTACTGCAAGGATTTTGTGGCGTTGCCGGTCGTTCAAAGAATTTCGGAGATTCGTAGTCGCAAGCTATGCGTCAATTGCCTACGATCTTCATTTCACACTTCCAGTAAATGCACTTCAGGATCTTGTAAGGTTTGTCACGCTAAGCATAATACGTTGCTCCATGCAACCGAGGTCACAGCATCGTCAACGAACAATGCCGAGAATAACGATTCTTCAAAGGCAGCTAATTCTCCTTCGGTGGTGGCGACACACGCGTCTGGAGTTATCAATAGCGATCAGGTCATACTGTCGACTGCTTCAGTATACGCTTGCGACAACAAAGGTTCGCGCAAACCATGTCGCCGCGTATTACTCGATTGCGGTTCACAGGCAAATTTTGTTTCGAAGCGACTCGTAAGAAATCTCGGGTTGGAAACACGGCCTTTGAATGTGTCAATCTCAGGAGTCAACGGAACAGTGGCTATATCCAATCAAGTCGCTCGGGTGAGGTTAGAGTCACGCTCGAGTTCATTTACAACGGTGATTGAGTGCATAGTTAGTGATCAGGTAACCGATAAAATTCCAGCCGTCTCTTTGAGGCGCGACACTTTCGAACTCCCGCGCAATCTTCAATTAGCCGACCCGCAGTTTCATCTATCAGCAGATATCGATCTGTTGATTGGTGCAGAACTGTTTTGGGACCTACTTTGCGTCGGGCAAATAAAGTCATCAGAAAAACACCCGACTCTTCAGAAGACGCGTTTAGGATGGATATTAGCAGGCCGTCTAGCTAACAATACGCAACCGAACTCGAAGATTCATTCATTGCATGCTTCTATCACGAATGCTCAATTACACGATCAAGTCAGTCGGTTCTGGCAAATGGATAGCGTGTCCGCGGAACTGAATAGCTACACTAAAGAGGAAGGCCTTTGCGAGCATCATTTCTTAGAGAATGTATCGCAGAACCCCGAGGGTAAGTGCATTGTCAAGCTTCCAGTTAGAGAGGAGGTCGTCGAAAGGTTGGGGGATTCGCGAGACATCGCATTGAAGCGACTGAGAAACCTTGAACGGCGTTTCAAGCATAACCCCGAGCTTAAACTTCAATACACGAAATTTCTCGACGAGTATCTCTCGTTAGGCCATATGCGAATAACAGATCCGACTCTGACTCACGAACCGATATCATTCTATCTTCCTCACCACTGTGTTTTTAAAACAGTCAATGATGTATCAAAAATTAGAGTAGTCTTCGACGCATCGTGTCGCACTGATTCCGGCGTTTCATTGAATGACGCGTTACTGGTAGGACCGGTTGTCCAACAAGAATTAATATTAATACTAATGCGTTTCCGTTTTTTCATTTACACGATTACCGCTGACATCATCAAGATGTATCGGCAAGTGTTGATACATCCGTCCCAAATGTCCTTGCAAAGGATTTTGTGGCGCACAGACCCAACGTCTGAAGTTCACGCTTATGAGTTGACTACGGTTACTTACGGCACCGCTCCAGCTTCATATTTAGCTACGAGGTGTCTCAAGCACCTAGCTGAGCGGTACGCGTCTCAATTTCCCCGCGGTTCCGCTTGCGTTATACGGGATTTCTATGTTGACGACTTGCTCACCGGCGCGGACACGATTGATGAATTAAAACTAATTAAGGAAGAAACGGTTCAATTACTGAAGTTGGGATCGTTCGAGTTGAGTAAATGGGCGACGAACTGCCCTACGTTATTAGAAACTAGCGATTCCGATTCCGATCTGATCGACATTCGAGATGATGCTATCGATCCATGTATTCTAGGGATGCACTGGAACCAGTGCCGGGATACGTTTCAATTTTCCTGCAATTTCGAAACCAACGATCTCGTGTCTAAGCGAGTTATATTATCGGACATCGCCAAGTTGTTCGACCCTTTGGACATCTTGGGGCCTGTTATTGTTATCGCAAAACTCATCCTCCAAGAGTTATGGCAATTAGACGTTCATTGGGATGAGTCAGTTCCCCAAAGTATTCACACACGTTGGCTTGAGTTCAAGGTACAGTTAGAAGTTCTAAATCAGCTTCAAATTCCGCGATGCGTCAAGCCGTCTTCTTATTCACAAATAGTACAATTACACGGCTTTTGTGACGCTAGCCAGTCGGCTTATGGAGCTTGCGTATACGTGCGTACTAGGCTTGGTCCGGAGGAATATCATTCTTCACTTTTATGTTCAAAGTCACGCGTTGCTCCTCTCAAGGCCGTATCTTTGCCAAGGCTGGAATTGTCGGCTGCCTTGCTATTAGCGCGTTTAATAGACAGGGTCAGAGAATCTTTGAGTTCGTTACAGCTGCAAATGCATCTATGGTCTAACTCAACTATCACCTTGAACTGGATAGCCTCTGCATCACGACGATGGTCGGTTTTCGTGGCCAACAGGGTGGGCGAAATACAACGTTTAACCCAAATTGAATCTTGGCGTCACATCTCTTCCGTGGACAACCCGGCCGATGTATTATCCCGAGGTTTGAATCCCCACGATTTAATCAGCAATGCGAAATGGTGGAGCGGACCTAACTTTCTCAAGCAAGACGACAGTCAATGGCCGTCCGGCGAGTTTACTCAACTCCATGATAACCTTCCCGAGCAGAAAAGGGTTCTCGCAACTACTTCGTCAATCAGCCCATGTGTTATCAGCACGTTATTAGACAAATATTCCAGTTTGAATAAAATCTGCCGTGTCGTATCATATTGTTTAAGATTTACCAAAGCACACCGTTCATATGCGACATCCGAATTTGTATCTCCCTCCGAATTATCGAAAGCTCTAGTTTATATTTGCAGAACAATACAAAGACGCGCCTTTCCAAACGAATTCCGAGCTTTAGCTAAGGGCGACGATGTCGGCACCTCTAGTGCAATCTTATCATTATCTCCTTTTCTCGATGATAACGGCGTAATTCGAGTCGGCGGTAGATTAAAAAACTCTGACTTAAGCTTCGATGCTTGTCACCCGATATTACTTCCTCGTAAACACATATTAACTCAGCGCATTGTAGAACAGGAGCATGTGCGAAACATGCACGCAGGACTGCAAGCCACGATGGCCTCTGTCCGGCAAAGGTTCTGGCCGATTTCGTTAAGGTCTACAGTACGTAAAAGTATACAAGGATGCATAACATGTTTTCGAGCCAAGCCGATTTTTTCAGAGGCCATCATGGGTTCTTTACCGTCTGCCCGCGTGAGGGCATCTAGGCCATTTTCCCACTGCGGCGTGGACTACGCTGGTCCAATGTTGTTACGCGAAGGTAGGCGTCGTAACGCACGAAGCAGCAAGGCTTATGTCTCACTTTTTGTGTGTTTTGCAACAAAGGCGATCCATTTGGAGTTAGTAAGTAGTCTTACTTCCGAAGCGTTTATTGCCGCCTTTAAGCGTTTTATAGCTCGCAGGGGCAAACCCGCACATATGTACTCTGACAATGAAACCACCTTTGTAGGCGCTCGAAAAATAATTAAGGAGTTGTACGACGTTATTAATGACCAAGAAACTCAGGGTCAGATTAAGCGCTTTTTATGCGAACAAGACATCGATTGGAGCTTCATACCCCCTAATGCTCCCCACTTCGGTGGATTGTGGGAGGCGGGCGTGAAGTCAGTTAAGCATCATTTGACGCATCGTAGGTAAGGCGCATTTGACTTACGAAGAAATGCAAACTATCCTTTGCGAAATCGAGGCGATCCTCAATTCGCGACCCCTTACACCGTTAAGCGACGATCCCAACGATTTGGCGTATCTCACTCTCGGTCACTTTCTGGTTGGCGGGGCATTAAATAGCCTTCCTTGCACTGACTTAAGCGATGTTAGCGAAAATCGATTATTGCGATGGCAGCGCGTGGAGCAATCCCGTCAGCATTTTTGGCTCAGATGGAGCAATGAGTATCTCCATTGTCTGCAGCAACGTACTAAATGGAAAACTAATAAGGGTGTTCAATTATCGCCTAATCAACTTGTTCTTGTTAAACAGCAAAATTTGGCTCCGCTGCAGTGGATTCTGGGACGTGTTCAATCAGTTCATAGCGGGTCTGATGGCATCCCACGCACTGCCACCGTCAAGACTGCCAAGGGCTCCTATACGAGGTCACTTGCCAAATTAGCAATACTGCCCATTGAGGCATGACTGATGTTATATTAGATATTAAGTTAATGTAAGTCCGTTCAGCTAATACTAAGTCTAAGGTAAATCTCATCTTATTTAATTTTCGTTTGTGTTTACGAGATTCTATAGCTCTCGTCAAGGTGCAATCTATTACTATTTAAGAGCATATTTAAAACCTGTTACTACTTAAGAGAGATTATTTATGTTATACTTTTTGTTCCATGTGATTGCGCCCATACAAAGAACTTATTGAAAGGTAGTCCTTTCAAGGCGGCCGGCGTACAGTTGTTGAATTAAAACTTAAAAGTACACATATAATGTAATTATATAAAAATATATTTGTAGTAATATGTTTATCGATAACGTTATTTATAAAAAAAAAATGAAAAAAGGAAAATGCAGGATGGAACGTAAGATCTTCGGAATACTGGTCTCGCATCTAACGCCCGAGACCACGCCGAGTTCTTATGAATCATCTCTACGAATGCGGTACATAAAGCGCACGGAAAATCGTAAATTACATCTCGTCAACTATCACGTTTTGAAATCATTTTTGCTATTATACGTTAATGAAAAAGGATTATGATCAATATATTTATTAATAATTTCACTTATTCAATATATTTATCAATATATTTATTAATATATCAATATATTTATTAATAATTTCACTTATTTTAGAAAGAAAATTATGAAAAATAGACAAAAAGAATCAATTATGGGATCTGTAACGTTCTGATCTCGCACTCTACGCGCGAGACCACGCTGAGTTCTTGCAAACCACTTCTATGAACAT